TCATTGTCTTTAAGTTGCATACCTTGGCAAAGACCTTAACAGTATAACCCAGAGTTGCCACACGATCATCCAGTTTAGCGTAAGTAGCAAGCATCTTTGTGTTCTCCAATGCGAGTGTGTTATATAAACTTATATCAGCCTCAAGTTTACGACTGCGAAGGAAGAACTTCACAATGGGAACTTTTGCTGTGGTGATAGCCAGCACATTGCCACAGTCTCTGTGTTTCCTCAGGAGCTTTGCAAGGCTACGAATTACCTCTACACAATCCACTTCTTCTTTGACACGGCCTTCCAGCGTCATGCAAATATCAATGTCACTGTGGCGAAAACCAAAGCCATTTTTGGAGGAACCAAACAAAAACAGTCGTGCTTCTGGAGAAAAAGACAACAGCAGCTTTACAAAATCAGTTTCTGAGTAATTCAAACAAAAGAACCGGACAGCCATGCGGAGGGTCGAGGGTTCAAACCCCAGACCGGACCAACACTCGGAGTCTTAAAGACACTGCACTGCCTTTGCTTTGACATCCACCAATGGTTAAAAATTCTACTCTTCCAGAATAAGGACGACAAACCGTAGGTCCCGTCCCCTGTATCGTCTCTGTACTAGTTAGCAGGGGTTGTCAAAGAACTCACGCACTCCTTGCAATGAGTAGGGAGAGTAGCTCCCGATGTTGTGGTCTGGCCTTGTTAAATTGTTTATGCAGGCCCTTATTTAAAACAGCTTTAAAGTTGAACTGAACTGGGCCAGCCTGTCTTAAGTTCGCTGATAAGTAAATGGTATAAATAAGTAAATGGTTTACCTGGATACTGCCCATTAATGTAGCTTTCTAAATTCCTTAACACCTTCTCTCGGTTGGATACTTCTGATTTTTCAAATTCAAAATCAGCTACAAAAATATAAAAGTTTGAGATTATTGGACTAGTGAGTTGGCTGTGAAATAAGATGTACCATAAGCACAAGGTATATACAAACATACTTGTCGAGAAATCATACGAACATGAAGACATGGCCGGTTTAAACACTTATAGCATGTACATGAACAGGTTTAATTTCTGTACTTGTCCTTTAGAGAGACTCCCGACCACCTTATAAGTCACTTAAAAAAAAGCTGAAAATGTTTGGGAAAGCGTAGTGTTACACTAACTAATAAAGGTAAAACACTAAACCTCCAACTGATTAGTTGTGCATTTTCCCTAATTTTTTTCTACACATGTGTATACAGGCATTAAAACAAAAGTATATCGTGAAAGATTAACAAGGAGTTTTGTTGGAAGTACACACCTCTACAAGTCTGGCAAACAAAATCTAACACTTTAGCAAACATTGGCGTCATTGGCGGTAGTGCAATCAGAGGTGGCTTCTGCAAACGTGGGCACCGATCCTTGGCATGACCATCCTGTTTGCAAATGCAACAGGTTTTAACTGGTTTACTGTTTCCTTGGAAAATCTTGGTATCAAATCTGTAAACAATGTCTTGACTTTTGTCTGCAACACCACACGCTTGTTCCTCTGGGTCAGTTTTGGAGTTTCTGTTATCTTCCTCTTTAGATCCACTCAAACTTATTTCACCTTCAATTTCCGCGTCATCTTGAGCCTTGCTTTTTAAGCTAGAACCTTTCTTTTTGGTTTGCCTTTGAGAGAAACCTCCATCTTCGCAGTGATTGCTAGAAACATCCATAGAGCGCAATTGTTTGGTCAGAGGATCCAAGTCATCCATTTGAAAAATATCCTCGTCAACAGCAACGGCTTTGCTCTCCTGCTTCTTAGTTTTCACTGATTTACTGTCGTTCTTCTTGTGGGGTGGTTTAGAACTTGTATTTTGTATCTCCGTATTTGACCCTTCCAAGAAAAACAAATCGACAAAGATGTTAACAATAAAACAATACAAGACTTGTCAGGTCAACACTACCTTATTCAGGTACAAACATTTACATGTTCAAAGCAGTTTTTTTTTTCCCTCAAATTACTATTCCTTTCATTATTTATTTAAATTACATACAACTCGCACATATAGAAGACACAACAGCACTAGTTACTACCTACATCTCGTAAAAAAAGGTAAAAATAACGAAAAATAGGTTACTGTGCGATAGATGTGCTCCCCTGGGGTGGGATGGGTGGGTNAAAAGACAACAGCAGCTTTACAAAATCAGTTTCTGAGTAATTCAAACAAAACAACCGGACAGCCATGCGGAGGGTTGAGGGTTCAAACCCCAGACCAGACCAACACTCGGAGTCTTAAGGACATTGCACTGCCTTTGCTTTGACATCCACCACTGGTTAGAAATTCAATTCTTCCAGAATAAGGACGACAAACCGTAGGTCCCGTCCGCTGTACCGTCTTTGTACTAGTTAGCAGGGGTTGTCAAAGAACTCACGCACTCCTTGCAATGAGTAGAGAGAGTAGCTCCCGATGTTGTGGTCTGGCCTTGTTAAATTGTTTATACAGGCCCCTATTACAGGCCTGTCTTAAGTTCGCTAATAAGTAAATGGTTTACCTGGATACTGCCCATTAATGTAGCTTTCCAAATCCCTTAACACCTTCTCTCTGTAGGATACTTCTGATTTTTCAAATTCAAAATCAGCTACAAAAATATAAAAGTTTGAGATTATTGGAATGGTGAGTTGGCTGTGAAATAAGATGTACCACAAGTGCATGGTATATACAAACATACCTGTCGAGAAATCATACGAACGTGAAGATATGGCCGGTTTAAACACTTATAGCATGTACATGAACAGGTTTAATTTCTGTACTTGTCTTTAGAGAGACTCCCGACTACCTTATAAGTCACTTAAAAAAAACCTGAAAATATTTGGGAAAGCGTAGTGTTACACTAACTAATAAAGGTAAAACACTAAACCTCCAACTGATTAGTTGTGCATCTTCCCTAATTTTTTCCACACGTGTATACAGGCATTAAAACAAAAGTATATCGTGAAAGGTTAACAAGGAGTTTTGTTGGAAGTACACACCTCTACAAGTCTGGCAAACAAAATCTAACACTTTAGCAAACATTGGCGTCATTGGCGGCAGTGCTATCAGAGATGGCTTCTGCAAATCTGGGCACTGATCCTTAACATGACCATCCTCTTTGCAAAAGCAACAGGTTTTAACTGGATTACTGTTTCCTTGGAAAATCTTGGTATCAAATCTGTAGACAATGTCTTTACTTTTGTCTGCAACACCACACGCTTGTTCCTCTGAGTCAGTTTTGGAGTTTCTGTTATCGTCCTCTTTAGATCCACCCCAACTTATTTCAACTTCAATTTCCGCGTCATCTTGAGCCTTGCTTTTTAAACTAGTACCTTTCTTTTTGGTTTGTCTTTGAGAGGAACCTCCATCTTCGCAGTCATTGCTAGAAACATCCATAGAGCGCATTTGTTTGGTCAGAAGATCCAAGTCATCCATTTGAAAAATATCCTCGTCAATAGCAGCGGCTTTGCTCTCCTGCTTCTTAGTTTTCACTGATTTACTGTCGTTCTTCTTGTGGGCTGGTTTAGAACTTGTATTTTGTATATCCGTATTTGACCCTTCCAAGAAAAACAAATCGACAAAGATGTTAACAATAAAATAATACAAGACTTGTCAGGTTAACACTACCTTATTTAGGTACAAACATTTACATGTTCAAAGCAGTTTTTTTCCTCAAATTATTATTCCTTTCATTATTTATTTAAATTACATACAACACGCACATATAGGAGACACAACAGCACTAGTTACTATCTTCATCTCGTAAAAAAAGGCAGAAATAATGAAAAATAGGTTACTCAATTAAGTTAAGCAGGCTTTTAAAACCCTTCCAACCTAATGGAAAATCCCTTTAATTATGACAATGACAATAATTGTGCTCGTTACAACATCCCCACATCGAATAAAACCTGTCCTTCCACCAAACATCAAACATTACCATAAAAAAGCTCTTCAAATGGTTAAACGAAAAACAAAAGTACGCAGAAAATGTCCACGTCAGTTTTCAATGCTGCCCACTCCAAAGGAGAAAAAGGAAAATACAAAATACTACTTTAAAAATAAAAGGGAAACCGTTTAACCATTGACACTACTTAAGGTTTCAGAACTCTCCCCCGTCTCTCTCTTCAAAATGCAATGCAAATGGTTAAACGGCTTCCATTTTATTCATTTGGGGCGGGTGGCATAGCAGTTGTGAAAAATCCCTTTCGTTTAAATTTCAAATTACAATTTCTTTTTTCCTCTTCCCCCTTTATATTCGTTTTGAATTCGAAAATCTCTTTCGTTTAAATTTCAAATTACAATTTTTCTTTTACTCTCCCCCCTTTGCATTCATTTTGAATGCGCGCGTGATTTCATAAATTAGCCAATCACGTCAAAAACTCCAAACTTGACAGTGAAAACTGACGTGGACATTTTTCGCGTAGTTTTGTTGTTCTTTTACGGTGTCGTTTTAGGTTGTTTTACAGTTTTGTTCGCGCAAATTTGTTACCCCCTTGCTTGGAATTTTAAGAAGTTTCGGAGTTTTTTTTGGCCAACTGTTATGGTTCAATCAACAAGATCACTACGTATTTTCTACGGAGTTTGGACTCAAGCCTCTTTTTTTGTAAAAATACTCATAAACGGCAAGGTCTTATTGGCAGTGGTTTACCGCCGGTAACTGGCTTTAGCCCCTTTCACTCCCGAGATCTCTTTAGTAATTCTCCATACTGTCTGCCACACAATTCTTATGATACTAAGTTTGGAGAATTTAGTATTGGATCAACTACTGACCCCTTAATTGATATTTTTCTTTATTTTCATCACTTGTCTGCTTGGTATTGTGTTGATATTGTAAGGAGAAATTCTGTCTTGATCAATCATGGGAGTCACAAGGTTAATAAAACCCCTGTACAGTAATGGTTTAATTAGACAGAGGAACACGATTATGTGTAATAATTATTCCACATAGGTTATCATCGCTTACCATTTTGTGGCGAGGATGTAAAATATCTAAAGCTGTTCTTCCAGCAAGTAAAAAGGTGGTCGTATGCTGGAAGCAAAGGAAAAACAGTCATCTATTTGATGTAATAACAGTAGTAATGATAATAATAATAATAATAATGATAATAATAATAATAATAATGATAATATTAGTTATATTTTATTAAACTTTAAAAATATGTCCATAATTTACAGAAACATTTGAAGAATTAAGCACTCTATTAAGAAAAGATAATGAAAAAATACAGTCACTGTGTCAATAACGATTTCCCAAATACATTCCTAGTGGCTAAGATGCAATCAGTAGTTCTTGAAGGGAGTCAGGGGTTTTAAATCAAGTCATAACAGAAGAAATATTATCTGTTTCTGATAATAAAAGAAACAAGTGAGTTCTCATATTCCTAACAAAACAAAGATTCATTTGGGCAGGCTCTAATATTTTCGATCTGTAAATCAAAATCTATCTGTCGTCTTGTGGATCTTGAGCCTCTCAACCTCTTAAGCATAGGATCGCAGGGCGTAAGATGGCGAAAGACACTTTAGCTCTTATCCACGAAATT